AAAAAATACAAAAAACTAGCCGGGCGAGGTGGCGGGTGTCTGTAGTCCCAGCTACTCGGGAGGCTGAGGCAGGAGAATGGCGTGAACCCGGGAGGCAGAGCTTGCGGTGAGCCGAGATCCGGCCACTGCACTCCAGCCCAGGCGACAGAGCGAGACTCCGTCTCAAAAAAAAAAAAAAAAAAAAAGGAAAGAGGTTTAATTGACTCACAGTTCCACAGGCTGTACAAGAAGCATGGCTGGGGAAGCCTCAGGAAACTTACAATCATGGCAGAGGGTGAAGAGGAAAGAGGCACATCTTATATGGCTGGAGCAGGAGGAATAGAGAACAGGCAGAGGTGCTACACACTTTTAAACAACCAGATCTCACGAGACTTCACTCACTATCACAAGAACAGCAAGGGGAAAATCCACTCCCATGATCCAATCAGCTCCCACCAGGTCCCTCCTCCAACACTGGGGATCACAATTTGACATGAGATTTGGGTGGGGACATAAATCCAAACCATATCGGGTGTCTTTGTTTTCTAGTTGTTTGTTGCTGATGCAAAGAAAAACAATTTCTATAGTTTGAGCTTATATTTAGCAACTTTGCTAAATTCACTTATTAATTCTAACAATTTATCTATAGATACTTTGGATTTTTCTATGTACACATCATCTGCAGAAATTGAAAGTCTTATTTATTCACTTCCAGTCATTACTCCTTTTCTTTTTCTTGCGTTAATGCACTGCCTCCGACCTCCAGTACAATGTTGATTAGAAGTGAGCATACCAGGTGTCCTTGTCTCATTCCCAATCTCAGGAGGAAATATTTTCCATGTTACCATTAAGTTTTGCCATGCTTCTTTTAAACACACCCTTCATCAGGCTAAGGAAGTTCTCTTCTATTTCTAGTTTGCTAAGAATTTATACTGTGTTGAATTTTCTCAAATCCCTTTCTCTTTAGAGAAATTAGTAATAGATCATATAATTTATTATGAATATATGAATTCATATATTCATATACATTCAACACAATATCATCAAAATAATAGGTTATATGATCTCTAAGAAAGAACATATAACCTATTATTAATTACATTGACTTTTTAAATTTATTGGCATATTTTCCATAATTCCCTATCCTTTTAATGTTTGTAGAATCTGTAGTGATGGATATTTATCATGGACATTTGAAAATTTGTATTTTATTTGTTGATCAGTCTAGAGTTTCTTGCATATATTAATCTTTTCAGAGAACTAGCTTTGATTTTTGCTATTGTTTGTCCTCTAGAGGTCATGAAAACAAATGTGAAGGAGGAAATTCACAAGAAGTGCCAAGCATATATAGTAAGCTAGACACTTATGAGACATGAAGAAAATGCATAGGATGTGTAAAGTATAGATAAGTAAACAAGTAGCTTTTAGACAGGCAAAATTCGTAAGATGTGTTATAGTTACCAAGCAAGCAACTTGTAAGACGTACTAAAGATAAATGGAATACATAGAATATGATAGAACAAATGAGTATATTACTTATAGATAGAAAGGGACAGGAACACCAACTCATAAGGTATCCTACCACCTTGGTTATATTATACTTAAATTAACCACCAACTGGTGACACTCAGTACTGTTCCATTGAACACAGATAAAACCCATCACTGTTCAGGCTAATTGGTAAGCTATAAGCTGAGGTAAGCAAGGTATGTCATTGACCTTGAGCACCTTCAGTCTGATTGGGGCCCTTTTTCAAACCTCAACTCTGGTCCTTGTAACCAATAAGGCTGATGGAACAGAGACAGACAGAGGCAGAGGCAGGGTCTATGAACATTCCATAACACAGGACTCAGGAAATGTAATCCTTCACCCTGTTTGTACCCTAAGTCTGTTAACTTACTCCATCTCTTTGCTTCTTCATGTGTATATATACACACATATCTGTCCTATACGTATATATACACATATATATGTATACATGTCCACATATATGTATACATATATGTGGATATGTGTATATATGGATATTTATATATGTATACATATTTGCATTTTTCAAAAAAATTGATTTAATAAGCCATGTGACTCAACAATTTTATTTTATTTTTTTTTAAGGCAGTCTCACTGTGTCACCCAGGCTGGGGGCAATCTCGGCTCACTGCAACCTCCACCTCCTGGGTTCAAGCAATTCTCCTGCCTCAGCCTCCCAAGTAGCTGGGACTACAGGCATGTGCCACCACGCCTAGCTAACTTTCGTATTTTTAGTAGAGACGGGGTTTCACCATGTTGGCCAGGCTGGTCTTGAACTCCTGACTTCAAGCAATCCACCTGCCTTGGCCTCCCAAAGTGCCAGGATTACAGGCGTGAGCCACCATGCCCGGCCTGACTCAAGCATTTTAATTTGGTCTGTGAGCCTTTCTATTCTGAGACTTCTAGGGTAGCTTGCCTGGTCACATATTGAACACTATCACTATATCAAGGGAATTTCTCACATTAACAGAGCCCAAAGGATAAAGTGGGAAGGGATCATAATTCACAGCTTGGAGTTTACCTAAAGAAACAGGACAATAATATGAAATAATTGGCTAAAATATTGGGGGCCCAGTATTGATCTGGGTGGTTATAGGGCCAATCAAGGGTCACGGGGCTGATCTTAGGAAACCAGGATAGTTTCGGGAGCCCTAAGAATAAGGTGAAGAAGGACCATAATTAATTTTATTTTAGACATTTTATCTAAAGCAGTAAGACAAATTAAGTAACCGGCATAAATAACGTGGGGGTGGGGCTTAGGGCTGGCCAAGGGGGCACAACAGAGCTGGTATGGGGGAGATATCAGGGACACCTCTTGCAGTGGGTCCTCTCCCCCTCTGAGTATATATAAGTAACAATGGCAAGGAAATTGTATTAGTCTGTTCTCACACTGCTAAAATACCTGAGACTGGGTAATTTATAAAGAAAAAAGGTTAAGTTGGCTTACTGTCCTGCAGGCTGTACAGGAAGCATGGAAGCATCTGCTTCCAGGGAGGCCCGAGGGAGCTTTTACTCATGGCAGAAGGCAAAGAGGGAGCAGGCATCTTACATGGCAGGAGCAGGAGGAAGAAAGGAAGAAGGTGCTATACACGTTTACACAATCAGATCTCATCAGAAGTCACTAACTATATGGTACTAAGGCGGGATGGTGCTAAACCATACATGAGAACTCCACCCCCAACATCCAATCACCTTCCATCAGACCCCTCCTCCAACATAGGATTACAATTCGACATGAGATTTGGATGGGGACACAGATCCAAACGACATCAGGGATGGAACACAGAAGTGACATTCATTGAGCACTGTGTCCAGAACACAGGCTGATCCCATCCCATACACCTGTGGTCACTGCAGGGTCTTCAGCGCAGCTCCTCGTTGTGCAGAAACCCCAGGGATCACCTCCCACCTCCACCCAACTCCCCATCGCCAACAACGCAAGGTCATGCATCCCTAAGACCCCAAGACCCTATAACCTCTGACACCATAGATCCCCATCACTCACCCCAGAGTGCCTCCCATTCCAGCAGTCTTCCCACCTTGACTGCCCGGGGTTCTTCCCCTCTTCACTCATTAGTGTCATGCCATGCTTTGCCACTTTCCTGCACTGCTCTTCACCCAACACCATTAACCACTGTCATTTACACTGTGCCTCATATCACTCCCAATTTCCTCCACTCTCCACTCACTCACTGCCACTCTACTCCCTCCTTCTCTCCCCAACACTACTCATGTTTACTTACACTCAACTGTTTCTTCTCCAGTAACTCACACCACTGGATATTTCCCCCATTTCACCCTACTTTTCCCTGTTCACCACCCTTCTGCCCCTCTTTACTCCATTCACTTCCCACTTTGCCCTTCGTTACCCTCCTCTCTCTTCCTCCAATCCCAATCCTTTTATTCACATGCTGATGTTCATCTCCATCCATCCCCGTCTTTGCTTCACTCACCTCCATTCACCCACATGTGGCCCATCAGCTTGCCATTTGTGTTCCAGGAAGCAGGAGTCCAAGATCTACCGGAAATGGTGAGATATGACCCTCACTCCCACCCCACTACAGGATGACCTTCAATGGACCTGAAACCCTAGGAAGATTCTCTATAAGTAGAAAGGCAAAATAGCTTTATTTCCAGTGCCCTTGGGCATCTTTCAAGGAGACTGTACCAGGAGCAAGCCAGTCTGCCCCACATTTCCTCTCCCTGGAAAGGCACTGAATGTGACATGTTTACTTTACATAGTTCATAAAGTGAGCCCACGGCTTGTTTCCTTGCAGTATTACTCAGGGAAAAAAGAAGGCCTGGAAGGGCACAGGCAGGGTCTCAGGTCTAACTCACCCACCCGTTTTGATAAATCCAAACATTGCCCATCCCTAGTTTTTCATAGCTTAAGTTGTCCAGTTCCAGCAAAGAGATGGCCCCAGTGAAAAGCCACAGAACCATGAGGGCCACAAATACAGTAATTCACAAGCAGGACCGCTTGTTCTGAAGCAAACGTCCTGTTATGTGGTCTTTGGCTATGTCCATTCAGACCATCACTCTCAATCTGTCTCTCACCTTAGAAAATATGTATCACCAGCACTAGTGCCACCTTAGAGGAGCAAGTTATTCAACCTCTCTATGGATTAGTGTTTTGCAGCACTTGTAAAAACCGTTTGTATGAATGATGTAATAAAAATCATTTCGTTAAGATATGGAAAGTCCTCGGTGGGCTTTAGTACAGGATCTTTTCACAGATGTCACTGTACATACTAAATATGTTCCAGTCTCAATCATTTTAGTGGTCCCAGCTGACCTGAGAATCACTTGATTTGGCAATCTCAGGAAAATAATGCCTATGTGCCTCTGGAATTGATTGAATAACTGTTGTTCTATCTGCTTGGTTATTCAATTGATTCACTAAAAAATAAACTCTACATTGAGCATATCTATATTAAATATTATAAAATCCTGTACCTAGACTGTGACTTTACTATAACAGTAGAACAAAATAGCTTTTAAAATGTTTTATTTTTGAAAAGGTAGTACATCCACATAGTACATAGTACATCCACATTTTCAAAAGCTATGAAAGGATACAGTTGTCTCCCTCTCAATTCCATCCCCACAGCCACCACTGCTCCTTCCCCTTCCAGCGTAATCAGGGTTACCAGGTTCTCGTGTCTCTTTCCAGAGATAACTTATGAATTCACAATTATGTACTTACCATTTTTCTCCTTTTTATATACAAATGGCAGCATATTATACTCACTGTCCTTAACCTTGTTTTTCCTACCTAATAACATAAACTGAAGGTTATCCCACATCACTACATAAATGGTATCCTGGTTCTCCTTATTTATTCATTGTTGTCTACCCAGGAGTAGGCTGTATGAATATACCACAATTTAGGGAACCAGAACCCTGATACGGTATCATTTAGACAGCTTCCAATCTTTTGTTTTCACAAACAGTGCATTAATGAATACTTCTGTATGTTCATCATTTTGTACATGTGTGAGTATGTACATTCCTAGAAGTGGAATTGCTGGCCCCAAAACCAAATGCATTTGTGGTTTTGATTACTTTTGAATCATTCCTCTTTGAATGAGAAGAGTTTTTCCTGGACTTGCTATTTGCTGGAGGTTCATGTGGGAAAAGAAACCAGGGCCACATTCCAAGCAGATCAGTTTTTTTTGACAACTGAGATTTTTTCCCCCCACATTAGTTCTTTCTGACTTTACTTCTCCCAAGTCAGTAAACGGGCAGCTGTGGGGCTCTTCACAAGGAAAAGTCCCTTCTCTTCCCCCAGCACCCCCATAACTGTTTCTCCCATCAGTAGACTACTTTCTACAAATATGGCTTGTCTGAGTGACTCCTTCTCGAGGCCCCAGCCTGTTTCTCCTCGGACCCCAAATGGTCTAGGAAACATCCTACCTCCTACCTGCCCACGCACTATTACCACTGTTATATTTATGGTTCCACGCCTCGGTGTATATCCCGAACCTCAGCTAAGAGTCCTTACCAGTGCTGTCTCGCATCTGCAGCCTTGAGCACGCTCGCTCTGAAATCTCCTGCACCAGTGCTTCATTTCCTCTGCCTGTGGCAGCCCTCTTATCAGGGTTGCAGCTGTCTTCTAATTTTGTCAGATACAGAGATTACACTTCTGCTTTTTCTCCCGTAGCTTTTGGGTTATGACCGAGATGAAAAGAAGAAAGGCTGAGTTTACTCCCATATTTAAACCAGAAGTCGGAATATACTTTTCAAATGTGAATTAAATTGACACAACTTTCCTTCAATGTCCATAATATATACTGTTGGTTAGCTCTCTAATGTGCCATGAACTTTGACTTCCGAGTGTGGCCTCTTCCATGGGCTTTCTTTCCTGTATGGGTTCGTTGATGTACAATAAGGTTTGATTTTTGGGTAAAGGCTTTCCCACATTCCGTACATTTATAGGGTTTCTCTCCAGTATGAGTTCTTTGATGCACAGTGAATGTTGACTTTTCTCGGAAGGCTTTGCCACACTCAGCGCATGCATAGGGTTTCTCTCCTGTGTGCGTTCTCTGATGTATTATGAGCTGTGACTTCTGGCTAAAAGCTTTCCAACACACAGGACATTCATAGGGTTTCTCTCCTGTATGGATTCTCTGATGTATAATGAGCTTTGACTTTTCTCTGAAGGCTTTGCCACATTCATTACATTTATAGGGTTTTTCTTCTGTATGAGTTCTTTGATGGATAATGAGATACGATTTCTGTGAAAATGCTTTTTCACATTCATTGCACTCATAAGGTTTCTCTCCTGTATGACCTCTCTGATGTAGCATGAGGTAGGACTTCTGAGAGAAGGCTTTCTCACATTCATTACATTCAAAGGGTTTCTCTCCTGAATGAGTTCTCTGATGTACACCAAGGTTTGACTTTTGCGTGAAGGTTTTCCCACACACATCACATTCATAGGGTTTCTCTCCTGTATGAGTTCTTTGATGCACAATGAGGGTTGACTTCTCATTGAAAGACTTCCCACATTCAGTACATTTATGAGGTTTCTCTCCCGTATGAGTTCTCTGGTGTATAATGAGAGTTGACTTATCACTGAAAGTTTTCTTACACTCATTACATTCATGGGGTTTCTTTCCTGTATGGGTACTATGATGTATAATTAGATCAAGCTTCTGTATGAAAGATTCTCCACATTTAGTGCATTCATAGGTTTTCTCTCCAGTGTGGGTTTTCTGATGGACAATGAGATTGGACTTCTGAGTGAAGGCTTTTCCACATTCATTACATTCATAAGGTTTCTCTCCTGTGTGAGTCCTGTAATGTATGATGACAGTTGACTTTTCTCTGAAAGCTTTTCCACATTCAGGACACTCAAAGGGTCTCTCTCCTGTATGAGTTCGCAAGTGTATAATGAGCTGAGATTTTTGGCTAAAGGCTTTTCCACATTCGGTACATCCAAAAGGTTTCTCTCCTGTATGAGTTCTCCAATGTACAATGAGGTGTGACTTCTTGCTGAAGGTTTTCCTACATGCAGTACATTCAAAGGGTTTCTCTCCATTTTTAATTCTCTGATGTAGACTAAGGCCTTTCTTTCGCCTAAGACCTTTCCCACACTCTTTATAGCCATAGGGCTTCACTCCAGGATTTGTTTTCTCATACTCAGTATGGAAGAATAATTTTGCACATCCATTATCATATTTATTTTCTGCAGAACGTCTACTAAATAAGTCTAAATTATCTACCATATTATTTCCAAATGATTCGTGTTTATCGGGTCTTTGTATTGAAGCAACAAGGTTTGTACTCAAATGAAGTATGTTTCCAAACTCATGACAGTCACGACCGCTCTTGGTGGTAATTGTTTTCTTGTCAGAAAATCCAACTTGCATCAGCAGACGTTTCTCTTGGTCATCCTGATGTTGCCTCTCAATCTGTTCATCAACTTGACAGACTTCTAGAAAGAAGTACAATAAACCACCTTTATGCTTTGACATTATGGAACGGACCTTCTTTAGAATTATTCTGCCATATGAAAGCTGACACTATCATCTCATTTTATCAGAGTTCCTGGAGACAGTTTTTACTAAACTCCCACCTGCTGGTCTTTTTGTTACCAAGAACAATCTTACCCTGACACCTCAGTCTTTCTTACCTGTATTTATACATCACACCTGACTTCCATTAACTCTGGGAAACTTATACCCTTAATCTTCAGTTATCATATAAACTTTTTTTTTTTTTTTTTTTTTTAAGACAGGATCTCAGGTCTGTTGCCAGGCTGGAGTTTAGGGGCAAAATCACAGCTCACTGCAGCCTTGACCACCTGAGCTCAAGCAGTCCTCCCACCTCAGCCTCCTGAGTAGCTGGGACTGCAAGCACGAGCCACCACATCTGGCTAATTTTTGTATTTTTTGTAGAGACAAGGTCTCACTATGTTGCCCAGGCTGGTCTCAAACTCTTGGTCTCAAGCAATCCTCCCGCCTCAGCCTCCCAAAGTGCTGGGATTACAGGCACGAGCCACCACACCTGGCCAGTATTATATGAAGTCTTAACTGTACCTGACTTACAGAATTTCTGTCTAGGTGGAAATGCAACAGCATGATTCTCAGACTCATGTCTTACAATAGTAACACCAAATCCGCATTCTCAATGAATGAAAGAAAAATATAGAATGATTAGCTTGACAAAAACAAAAAGCTAAAAATATTTGCACAATCTGGGTTCACCTGTGTATCCATCAAAGCTTCCATTCACAGTTCTTCAACACCACCTTCTCTGCTCCTGTCTATACTATTTCCACTAAAACCTCTGCCTATTCTGTACTCCAAACCCTTCTTTATGTTCCATCACCCACATAGCCCTGTGTTCTGTATTTTGCTATATTCAGAATCTAGATAACTTTCAAGAGGCAGGTCAGTCTTTTCTAAAAAGCTTACTCTGATCTTCCTATATAACTTAAATTTTTTTATTAACTTCTAAAGTAGTCAGTCATCTGTATCACTCATTTAAACAGTTAAAATTGCAAAGCCTTGCCCTTAATTTCATTTCATCAATTGCAAGCAGCACATTATTTCACATTTTAACATCTCTGAATTCAGATGCACCTTACAATCAATGTCATAGGTTAATTGGTGGCAATTTTTCTTTCTTAGTGGTATGTCTTTAAATCTATGGCAAGTACTTTTTGTACATATGGTGAGTTTTTAATCTTTTTTTACAGTTTACTTTTCTTCTTACTTTTCCCCAAATTTTTATATGAAAATTTTCAAGCATAGAAAAAGTTGAAAGAGTACAATAACTACTCATATTACCACTTAGATTCAATAGTGTTAATGTTTTGCTCCAGTGATACTGAATTTTAACATGGATTGTGCAGCTGTGATTTTTCTTCCTGTGGCTTCCTTTCTTTGGCTAGCTAAGCATTAGTTCTTAGCCAGAGATGAACACAAAATCATATGAAGAACTTTTTACAAAATGCTCTCCATGGGACCCAAGCTCCACCAAAGATCTGCTGAATCTGAACCTTCTTAGGTGGTAAGAAGCAGTATGGCCCATGTGGTTAGGGTCCTGGGCTCTCTAGCCCAGGAGAAAATCCTGGCTCAACCTTTCACTTGGTCTGTGACCTCAGGCAAGTGATCTAAACTATTTGTATCTTACTTCCCCACCCATAAAGGAATTATAACAGTGCCCACCCAAATGGATGTTGACAGAATTAAATTACTTACAACAGGGCTTGCAGGGTACACAGGAAGTGCTTTAAATTGTTTACCACCACTGTTACTATTACAACTACTACTATTATGATTTTTAAGAATCACTACATTACTGTAAAAAGAAAGAGTATCTTTATATATTTAACATGTTATAGAATATTAAGTGAAAAATGGTGAATAAAACTGTGCATACACTGTTACCTGAGGCAGGAAACAAAGGGAAAAACTGGGTGATGCTGGAGGTTATTTTGAGCCATAGGACAGGGAAGCTGAAGGGTTTTTAAAGTGTGGTGTGTGGTGTATGTGTGTGTGTTTGTGTGCTATGATATGGTATTAGTTTCATCACTTTGCTTCTTTTACAGCAAGGAATGAGATGAGATCATTTGCTAAAAGAGGGAAAAACAACTTGGAGTGGAGGTTTGAAGGAAGCAAGAAAGGTGTTAGAAGACATGGAATCAAACCTAAGTGTCCATCAAGGAATATCAATGGATAAAGAAAATGTCATCTGTTTACACAGTGGAATACTGTTCAGCCATAAGAAGGAATTAAATATTGTTATTTGCAGCTACATGGATAAGCCTGGAGGACATTATGTTAAGTGAAATAAGCGAGGCACAGAAAGACAAACACTGCATGATCTCACTCATATATGGGAGCTAAAGGAGTTGATCTCATAGAAGTAGAGAGCAGAATAGTGACCAGACACTGGGAGGTGAAGAGGGGAAGAGAGGATAGGGAAAGGTTGGTAAATGGGTGCAAAGATACAGTTAGATAGGAGGAATAAGTTTCAGTGTTACATTGCACAGCAGGGTGTCTATAGTTAACAATAATATAGTGTATCTTTCAAAATAGCTAAAAGAAAAGATTTTGAATGTTCTCACCATAAAGAAACAAATGTTTGATGTGATGAATATACTAACTACCAAAATTTCATCATGACACACTGTATATATGTATCAAAACATCACACCATACTCCATAAATATGTACAATTATATGTCAACTAAAAGTAAAACTTTTAAAAATGTTTAAAACACTGTGCATAGTAGGAAATGAATAAATATACATTCCTACAGGCTCATGTTGTAAAAAATGATGGAAGAATAAACCTTTAAATTTTAATAAAGATTACCTATGAGGAAGGAAGGAAGGGAATGGAATGGAAAGGGAAAGAAGCTGGACTTTTCTGAATATACCTTGTTTTCTGTATTGATTTTGGAACCAAGTAAATCTTTTGTAACTATTTTATATAATCATAAAGCAAAACTGAACATAAAAGATTCCTTAATAATAGTAAATATTCTTTCTGCTGCATTTGCTAATGACCATGCTGAAAAGTCTTGATTCTCAATGGCACCAAAATGATTCCCTCAATTCATTCAACTCGCTATACACAAGCAACAGTCTCAAGAAGAATACTAACAATACTACTGTCAGATGTAAGATTAATAAATTAAAAACATTTAAGCCCAAAATTTGATTTGGAAATATTAATTTGAACACATGAGATATGTTTTCTGTAAAACATTTATACATAATAGTTCCTAGCTCTGTCAATGAAAAGGCCTCGAAACAATTCTCTAACCTCTAAATCATGGGCTTAAAACATTATTTTCCACTAAAAAGAGCCAGGGTCCCTTGGAGAAATCACCAATTCTAGGTCAGAGGCAGGAAATATACAAACGGAGCCTGGGACATGTTGTAACACCAGAAAGCAAGGAAGCTACCAAAGACTCAGGATCCAATTTGAAGGAGATTCCACCGGCCAAAGATGGGACAGTGTAATGTATAATACGGAAAATAAGACAATGGATTAAAACATAGAAATGTATACACCCATAAGTCCATAAATGATTCACAAAAAAGATATAACTTATTGGTCACCTTTGGATGATGCTACAAAATCAATTCATTATTTTGAAAACTAGTAAATAAATGGAAAAGCTCAATCACTGAGCCTGTCTTTTCTGTATGATATGTAACTCATGGTAGCCAAATAATAGATGAGAAGCAATTTCTCTTTATAGAATTATTCCAGTGGCGCCAGGTGCGGTGGCTCACGCCTGTAATCCCAGCATTTTGGGAGGCCAAGGCAGGCGGATCACAACATCAGGAGATTGAGACCATCCTGGCTAACACAGTGAAACCCCATCTCTACAAAAATTTAGCTTGGCGTGGTGACACACACCTGTAGTCCCAGCTACTCGGGAGGCTGATGCAGGAGAATTGCTTGAACCTGGGAGGCAGAGGCTGCAGTGAGCCAAGATTGCACCACTGCACTGCAGCCTGGGTGACAGAGCAAGACTCCGTCTCTAAAAAAAAAAAAAAAAAAAAGTTAAACATATAGTTCCTTTTATACCACCATATGGTATAATTCCAATCCTATGTATCTACCCAAAAGAAAGAAAAACATGTATCACCACAAAAATGTGTACATCAACGTACACAGCACCATCATCCATAATAACCAAAAAGTAGAAACAAGCAAAATGTCCATCAACTGATGAATGGACAAACAAAATGTGTTCTATCCTAACAATGGAATTTTATTCCTCCATAAAAAGGAATGAAGTACTGATACATGGTAGAATGTGGATGAACCTTGAAAACACACCAAGTGAAAGAAACCAGACATAAAAGGCCACATTTTGTCTGACTCCATTTAAATAAAATGTCCAGAATAGGCAAAACCATAGAGACAAAATAGATCAGTGGTTGCCAGGGAGTGAGGGGAAGAGGGAAGAGAGAGTGACTGCTAGGGAGTAGGGGCTTCTTTTCAGTGTGATGAACATGTTCTAGAATTAGGTAGTGGTGATGGTTGCACAACTCTGTGAATACACTAAAAACTACTGAATTGTATACTTTAAAAGGGTGAATTTTATGGTATGTGAATTTTATCTCAATAAAGCTACTTTTAAAAAATAGATAACCAAGATGTTTTAGGAGAGCAAATCTGACAAATATCTAAACTGAACGAGAAGACTGGACTCAGGTTGTTCAATCTGAAATTAGCACATTAGAGTCCAGGCCTGTGACTAACGTGGGCCTGGCTTCAGATAAGTCAGTGACAGGTGACAGTCGTGGAAGTGGCAGGGCCAGGAGGTTGTGGCATTTAAAAGACACTTCCATATGGGACAAAAGGAACTGTGCAGAAACTTGCAGGTAAGCACCAACTTACGGAGAGTGGCCTGGTGTATGGGGGACAGCGGGAGTGTCAGTTTTGTGTCTGAGGTGTTCATGTTCCTGTCCTCCAACAGTGCCAAGGGCCAGAACCTTTTCCTAAGATATTCCTGAAAGCCCTGTCAGAGGGCCTCACCTCTGACTAACAGGGTGGAACTTCATGTCCTCAGAGCCTGGGTCAAAATTCCACTTACCTGGAAAGTTCCAAAATGGGATTTTTCCTTCTGCCGGGTATTCTTCTACCTCCAACTTGAGGATGAGGTTTGGTTTGGTAACCTGCTGCCCTGTTGATGAGAAATGACAGTGATACCTCCTTGGCTTTCAGAGCCTCTGAGACAGAAGAAGTTACATATTAGGGGCAGCACAAGGAATCTATTGCTTGACATAATGGTAAAGTCAAACCATTTAACCTGCATTTTGAGCTTACAAACACTTTTTCAGGAGAGAAAAGGGGAAAACCAAGAAAGGAAATGCCTTCCATTGGATGCAATAATCATAAATAGCAAAATTACCTAAGGAAGCCATTCTTACCCACAAAGACCAAGTTGCTGTAGGTCTCCAGCATCACGTCTCTGTACAGGGTCCTCTGTGGCGGGTTAAGGTACTGCCACTCCTCCTGGGTGAAATCCACAGCCACATCTTCAAATGTCACTAGCCCCTGTAATGGTACATTCCTTTTATTTTAAAATGCTGACCACTAGGTGATGAGGATAAAATGCAGGGGAACTTCTGATTGGGTTCCTGGTTCATCATGACGACTCAATACTGGATGTCTATTTCATATCAAGTTAGTGATCTACTTTGTGGGAGAATCACAAATCAAGGTAAAAAAAAAAAAAAAAAAGTAAGTAAGAGAATATTTGAGACAATGCCATATCAGCACAAGGATAGACAAACAGTCCAGTGGAACTAAAAAGGGAATCCAAACATGTATAGACACCTGATTTATGACAAAGTTGGCACAGTAAAGCAGTAGGGAGAAGATGACCTTTTTAATAGATGTGAATGGGTTATTAGATATCTATATGGAGAAAACGAAATTTAACCCCTCTAGCCATACATAAAAATCAGCTACAGGTAAATTGTAAATCTAATGTGAGAGGAAAGTGTCTATAAAATAATATGGGAAAATGTTTTCATAAGCTTTGGAGTAGGGAAATAATTCTATAACAAAACATGAAAAGCACCCCTCATAAAGGAAAAGACAAGTGTTACAAGATCAAAAGTACTACAATGAAAAGGCAAGCCACAGATAGGGAAATTACTGGCAATCTTCATGAGGGAGAAAGGTATCGTATCTAGAATATATAAAATAGCCCCTTCAAATCAATAAGAAAATCACACACAAAAGAATGGATAAGAGAAGTGAACAGGTACTTCAAATCATACACAAAAGAATGGATAAGAGAAGTGAACAGGTACTTCACTAAAAAGCAAAACCAAATGATCTATGAACATAAGATAATGTACTCAACCCCATTCGCAATCAGGTAAGTGAAAAATTAAGCCACATTGAGACAGCACTATACACCCACAAGAAAGGTTATAATTAAACAGACTAAAATCACATAATATTGTGTTGAAATGAGAACTCTTACACACTATTAGCAGGAATATAAACTGGTATAATCGCTTTGGTAACAGTTTGGCATTATTTACAAAGGTTAATGGTTTGCATACACCATGACCCAGCAATTCTACTCCTAGGAAAATCAGGCACATGTGCTCTAGAAAATAAATATAGGGATGTTCATAGCAGCACTATTTCTAACACTAGATCACAGATAAAATCCAAATGTCCATCAACAGTAGAATGGGTAAATTGTGGCACAATCATTCAATGGAATGCTGTGTAGTAATGAAAATGAATGAACTGCATGCTGTGAAGCAGGTTCACTGTGCACTCAAAAAAGAAGAAATTCTTTTTAACCTTGGGTTGGACAAGTATTTCTTAGATGTGACACCAAAATTCAAAAGACACTTGTTAAGAGATTAAAAAGACACAGAATGGAAGAAAATATCTGCAAATCAAATATCTGGCAAATAACTTGTATTGAGAATATATATTTAAAAAAACTTTCAAAATTAAAACAACTGGGCAAAAGAGATACTTCACCATGGAAGATAAACAGATGGCAAATAAGCACATAAAAAGATGCTCAACATCATTAGGCATGAGGGAACTGTAAATTAAAACCACAATGAGATACTATTACACACTTATTAGAATGGGGAAAAAACTGACAATACTAAGTGTTGGTGAGGATGTAGAGCAACTGCACCTCTCCTATCATAGGCAGGAATGCAAAATGGCACACGGCTACTTTGGAAAATGATTTTCCAGTTGTTTATGAAGTTAAGCATATACTACCATACAACCCTGTAATCCCACTCCCATGTTTATTTACCTCAGTGAAATGCAAACTTAGGTAAACCCAAAACCCTGTACATGAACATTTATATAGCAGCTACATTTTTAATTATCAAAACCTAGAAACATATCAAAGGCTTTCCAACTAGTGAATGGATAAACAACCTGGAATCCTCCATACAATATAATACCACTTGGCAATAAAAATGAGAGAACTAATGATTTATGCAACAACATGGATGAACCTCAAATGTATTATGCTAAGTGAAAGAAGCCAGACTCAAAAGGCTGCATACTGCATGATTACATTTATATATTACATTTATGGGAAATAAAAACTACAAAGACTGAAAATATATCTATATTTTCCTTGTCAACAATACTACTTCCCTGGTCAGCAATACTGTGCATACTGTCACATCTCAATGTGTTGGGAGGGTGACATGAAGGTGAACAACAGAAGCTTCATGGCTGGGACCCTCTGAGACCTCACCCTATGCATCTCTCCCTTTGTTCTACTTGTATCCTTTTGCTATAATAAAACTGTAATCATAAGTATTTACTTTCCTGAGTTCTATGAGTCATTTTACCAAATTATTAAACCTGAGTGTATACTGAGAACTCTTAAGTTGAATCAAGGTGTGGAAGTGGAAGTGGCACCATTCACCATCACCCCTAGTGACCCACTAGCAAAAGTTTTGCTTCCTGTTCCTGCAACATTATGTTCTGCCGGCCTAGAGATCTTAGTTCCAGAGGGAGGAATGCTGCCACCAGGAGACACAACAATGATTCCCTGAAACTGGAAGTTAAGATTGCCACCTGGCCACTTTGGGCTCCTCCTACCTGTAAGTCAACAGGCTACAAAGGGTGTTGGCTGGGGTGACTGACCCACACCATCAAGATGAAATCAGTCTAATACTCCACAATGAAGGTAAAGAAGAGTATGTGTGGAATACAGGAGATCCCTTAGGGCATCTCTTAGTATTACCATGCCCTGTGATTAAGGTCAATGGGAAACTACACCAACCCATTCCAGGCAGGACTACAAATGGCCCAGACTCTTCAGGAAAGAAGGTTTGGGTCATTCTACTGGGTAAAACACCACAACCCACTGAGGTGTTTGCTGAAGGCAAGGGGAATACAGAATGGATAGAAGAAGGCAGTTATCAATATCAGCTATGACCACATGAGCAGCTGCAGAAAGGAGGACTGTAATTGTCATGAGGATTTCCTCCTTATTTTGTTAAAAATATGTCTGTGCATGTTTACACCTGTATTAAGAAAATATCTTCATTTTATTTCCTTTTTTATCATGTGACATAAGATTTATTGACTTCATATCAGCACTTAATTGTTGTTAAATTTATGTAACAGCATTTAGGCTAAGAATTAGTGTGCTTCCAGTTGTGACAGGGATAGCTGTATCGTGTTAGAAGTAATTATGACCTTATTATTGTCTTTACTTGAAGATTTATGTGTGATTTCAGGAGATGTGTACAGTTTTAAGTTGCCAAGGGGTAGACTTATAATGGTTAATATTGAATGTCAACTTGATCGGATTGAAGGATGCAAAGTATTGTTCCTGGGTGTGTCTGTGAGGGTGTTGCCAGAGGAGATTAACATTTGAGTCAATGGAATGGGAAAGGCAGACCCACCCTCAGTCTGGGTGGGCACCAGGGCAGCCAGAATAAAGGGCAAAAGAAGGTGGGAGGAGCTGGCTTGCTGAGTCTTCCGGCCTTCATCTTTCTCCCATGCTAGATGCTTCCTGCCCTCAAACATCAGACTCCAAGTTCTTCAGCTTTTGGACTCTTAGACTTAGACCAGTAGTTTGCCAGGGTCTTTGGCCACAGACTGAAGGCTGCACTGTCGGCTTCCCTATTTTTGAGGTTTTGGAACTCAGACTGGCTCCTTGCTCCTCAGCTTGCAGAAAACCTACTGTGGGACTTCATCTTGTGATCGTGTGAGTCAATACTCCTTAATAAAACCCCCCTCATATATTCATCTATCCTATTAGTTCTGTCCCTCGAGAGAACCTTGACTAATACAGAAGTCATTGCAACATAATATACATAATGATTATAAAATAAAACAATATGTCAGTTTAGACCAAACATACCAGCCAAATCAATCAATGTGATTAGGCCTTAAGAAGGCTTATTAAAAAAAGATCTCCAGATTGACTCACAAGCAAGATCCGGCTGTATGTTGTATACAAGAAATACAACTAAAACAAAGTGATTCAAGAAGGCTAAAAGTAAAGGGATAGGCAATGGTCAACCAGACAAATAAATGGAAACAATAAGAAAGCAGAGGTTGAGATCCTGACATTATCCTTAGTCTAAAGATAAAAGGCATACAAACAAATTGTGTATTATATTCAGCAGGTTGGTTTTCCACAGTGATGTGGGTGCAGCAATTCTGACTCTACTTTATGTATACTGTAGACTGAACAAATGAGTGAATTATTGATGCTAGGAACCAGTGCTCTCACTGTTAAAGAAGGGAGATGCAAATATGCAATGAGGGATGACTAAGATTCCCAGGATGCTATATGAACTCAAAATATGTATGTATGTGTGTGTGGTGTATGTGTGTACACATACAGATGTAGACATATAGATGTAGATATATATGTCCATACACACATCTCTGTTCACTGAAAGGGCCTAGAAGTAACGATGCCCCAGCAGTAATGAGCACAGCTAGCACCCAGATTTTGGTTTCTAAATATAATTATCCATTAACAGGAACCAGAGCTCCTTGGAGAAATGGCTGATTCCAGGGCTAGGGCAAGTAAAGTTAAAGATGAAGGCTGGAACATCTTGTGCCAGAAAATAAGAAAACGCTCAGAGCTCAGAAATGGACCAAACCTACCAAAGCCTTAAAATTCCACTTTTAGGACTGATATAGTTTGGCTATCTCTCCCTTCAAATCTTATGTTAAAATGTGATCCCGGTTGGATGTGGTGACTCATGCCTGTAATCTCAGCACTTTGGGAGGCCAAGGTGGGTGGATGATTTGAGGTCAGGAGTTTGAGACCAGCCTGGCCAACATGGTGAAACCTCATCTCTACTAAAAATACAAAAATTAGCTGGCAGTGGTGGTGTATACCTGTAATCCCAGCTACTCGGGAGGCTGAGGCATGAGAATTGCTTGAACTCAGGAAGTGGAGGTTGCAGTGAGAGCTGAGATCACGCCACTGCACTCCAGCCTGGGCAACAGAGTGAGAGACTGTCTCAAAAAAAAAAAAAAAAAAAAAAAAAAAATTTGATCCCCAGTGTTAAAGG